ATCTATCTATCTATCTATCTATCTATCTATCTATCTATCTATCTATCTATTTATCTATACATAAGTATAATTTTTTTCCCCTGCCACTACCCTAATACTGACAAAGGACTCATGAGTTACAAATATCATCTTTCCCTGCAGGAATGTAAACACTTTGCCTTAATAAGTCTCTTATGATTTCTCTTTCCTGTTTACCTCTTCCATGTTTCACTTGAGTCTTGTATTTGAAGGTCAGATTTTATATTTAGCTCTGGTCTTTTCCTCAGGAATGCTTGAAAGTCCCCTATTTTACTGAATGACCATTTTTCACCCTGAATGATTATACTCAGTTTTGCTGGGTAGGTGACCTCTCTTCTTGTGGCAGGCTACTGCATTGTTCAGGTCTGTCCTCAGCAGCGTTATCATGTTCAGACCACCAGGCTGAGGCAGCTTGACTGCACTGCTCACGTTGAGAAATGTGAATGGAGGGGAATGATTCTGTACTTACTTCAGAGGAACTTGCAAGGGCAAGGGCTGAAGCTAGGTTTTAAACACTCTCCTTGCCACCCTTCCCTCAGGTCCCTCCACACAGAAGTATCCCTGGCTGTTTGAGCACTTCAGAGTTTACTGTCCTCCAAAATTACACACCAGTTCTGTTCATGCTCTTCCTTTATCAAGGAATGGGGCTGAAGCAAATTAGGTTACTGCCTTAAGGGAATAAACAAGAGAGAAGCCACCATGGCAGAACTTCAGATTTAGGCCTGTCACGGTTGAAAATGATGATTCAGTTGAATAAACATTTGTTAAGTACCTTCTATGTGCCAGGCACTGTGCTAAGCACTGAGGATCTATACCAAAAGAGGCAAAAGGAAGACCCTGTCCCCAAGGAGCTTACAATTTATCTAGTCTATTGCCAAATATTCTGCCTTCAGGGCAGGGACTATAATCTTAGAGGCTTTTGGGGTCCCTAGTCCTTAGCCCAATACCCTGTCATAGTAAGTGCTTAGTAAAAGTTATGGGTTGAAGGAGATCTGGTACATAAAAAGTCACTTAGAGGTTAGCTGAATGAATGAGACCAGAGTAAAAAGGGCTCTAAATTTCTCTTCCAGTATTTCCCCTTCTAGATTCTGCCTGTTGGAGGATGGGAGAGGGGGAAGAGAAGGGGAAAGGCAAGGAGGGAGAGATGAGGGGGGATGGAGAGAGATGGAGAAAGGGACAGAACCAGGGATAGGGGGAGGAGGAGGGGGATGTAGATAGAGGAAAGGAGAGGGGGAAAGACATGAGGGAAGGGAGAGGAAGAAAGGGAAGAGAATGAGGAAGGGGAAGAGAGAAGGGGTGGGAAAGGAGGGAAAGAGATACGGGTTCTTCTAAAGGAACAGGGATACTTTAACCAAAAAAAACCAAACAAACCCCAAAACCCAAAACATGACTATGCTCATTGAAAATAGTCTGTTTTCTTTTCATTTCCCTTATACAGGATGAGAAGAATCAGTTAATGACCACAAACGTGTGGTTGAAACAGGTATGTACAGTACTCCAAGCCCTAGGGAGACACCTCAGCCCTCCACGTGGGTGCTTCCTGAGGGGCAGAGGGGAAGTCCTGTGGAAAGGCTGCATTTGGTGCTGCTGGGTTTGACAGAGGAAGATGAAGGTGAATGAAATTGAGCAAGGGCCACCCCTTATTTTATTTCTGTGGGTTCCTTTGTTACCCTCCCTCCTCCCCACCCCTCACTGAGTTTTTGATTTTTTCTTAACCACCTCCAACAATTTCCACCAACCAGCAGAAAGTCTTCTCCTCTGCTTATTCTCCCTATGTCTCCCCGTTCTCTTCCTTGTACTCTGGCCCACCCTCCAACTCCCAACAGGCCCCTTGGTGGGCAAAGCTAGCTCACAGAACATTTGTAGAATCTCAGATCTCGGAGGTACTTCAGAGACCACTGAATCCAGTCTATACCTGAATAGGACTGCCTAATGACAAGTAGTCATACAGCCTCTTCTTGAAGACCTCCGAGTGGGGGGGATCCATTATGTCCTGAACCTGAACGTTTGGACAGCTCCAACCCTTACACACATTTTCCTGATATCAAGCCCAAATTTGCTTCTATTCATTGGTCCTAACTCTGCATTCAGGTATGAAACTAATCCCCTGTCAAGGCAACAGCCCTTCAAATACACTTATCACATCCTCCCTAAGCCTTATCTTCTCCACGCTGACCATTGTCATGTCCTCCAACCACCCCTTCTATAGAATGAACTCAAGGCCCTTCCCCTTACTGTTTGTCCTGCTCTGGACACTTTCCACCTTGTCTTTAGGGACAGAGACTGGGCTGTGATTTCAATGATTGAGGAAATACCCCTTGTCAGATGCAGGTTGGTATCTTCTCTGTAACATGTCATCTGTTGGCCAAAGCACAAAGAGGTTGTGCCCTTACTTGGAGTCACACAGCCAGGATGGGTCAGGAAGACCCAAGTCTTCCTGGTGCCAAGGCTGGCTTTCTATGTACTAGGTCATGCTTTCCTATTTTCCACTATGTCATGCTCCCTCCCCTCCATCCACTAATCATACTAAGATGTGGGATAGTTAGAGGATTGCTATGGCCGTGAAAAAACTTAGTTGCTTTTTGAGGGACCCCTGGTTTTCTAGGCATGAGTGCTCTCTAGTATAAATTGCAATCTTTCCACACCTCATCCTGTGTAATTTTCACACGTCTTTCAAGAGATCATCCACAGAGGATCTGCCCCATGTGCTAGAGGACTTTCTCTGGGTGTTTCAATATCTTGAGTGTACCAGGGTTGCATTTGGGCTGGTCTCTTGGTATCTCTCCTCCTTGTTCCATGACTGGTCTACCTTCTTTTCCTAATCATCGGTGTGGGCCATTTCTAGCACATGTCATTGTTGGGAATGTGCGCTAGCCTACTTATGACCACTAGATACCTTTCCGTTGTCCATTGAGTTGCTTGTCATTTTTATTCTTGAGAGATCAGGGAAAGACAAGAATTGGTAGAGCATACCCTGTAGTCCCTGCTGCTGGGAAGATTGAGGCTGGTGGATAGCTTGGGTTCAGGAGTCCTGAGCTGCAATTGGGCTAAAGCTGATTGGGTGCCTGAACTAAGTGTGGAACTGTATGGTGAGCCCTGGGAGAGGAAGACCACCAAGCTTTTAGGAGGGATGAACTGGCCCAGGTTGGAAAAGTGAACTTCCATGCTGATCTGCTTTGGGATTGGGTCCAGAAGTGGCCAGTGTACTTCCAACCTGGAAGGGAGAGAGAGAGAGAGAGAAAGGGAAAAGGGAGACAGACTGATAGAGAGACAGAGAAAGACAGAAACAGATGCAGAAAGAGAGAGGAGACAGAAAGAAAAAGAGAGAGGGAGACAGAGTGAGAGGGAGGGAGGGAGGGAGGAGGAGGAGAAGAAGAAGAGAGACAGAGTTAGAGACATAGACAGAGATAGAGGCAGCTCAGAGTAGTGGATTGAGAGGAAGTCAGGAAGATCTGGGTTCAAGTCTGCCTGCATGGATGGAAGGTCTTTCTTTACTGGGAGTTCCTTATACCAATTACATTTTAGGTCCAGTGTAAAAAAACCATATCAGGGCATCCCATAATTCAGGGCCATCTAGCATCCTTGGGATAACATTCTGCTGGGTGCAGGCATGAGCCTGTCTAAGGACAGGATGGCACCCGTCAGAATCACTGACATAGGGAGTGAAGGGGAGACACCAGTGGTTGTCTCCATTCGAGGTCCTTCAGCTGTGCTCATCATGGTGGTAGTGCTGGCGACCAGCTCTGGTTATCTTGCCCAGGATCCCTTTGTAGACTCTGTTGGAGCAGGGTCTAGGCAGAGCCCCCAAGTATCTGGCTTGGAAGTTGTGTCAAGTTCCAGCTTACTTGTGCTTCTTGGGGACCATGGCTGGAGGTATCCTGAGTAGGTGGGGGAAACCAATTCCAAGCCCCTGCCAGCCAAGAGGGCTGTAGGCAGGATCTGGGTTATCCCCTGGCAAGATAACAAAGTGTTGTCCCTGGGCTTTAAACATGGGGGTACAAGTGTGGTCTTGCAGAAACAACTGAGTCCCATGGAACCTTTCCTGCCCTATTCCCTCCTACCTTTCCCCCATCAGGTAAAAAAGTGTTCTCACTCAGATTTCTCATAACACTGTGCCTCAATTTCTCGTCTACACTTATCTCAGGCTCCTTTTTAATCATTATTTATTCATGTAATTGTAAATAATTGAGTTGTAAAACTCTTTGAGAACTAGGCCTGTGTTGTATCTGTTAGGCCCAGTGTCTAGCAGGGTGCTTTCCAAATCAAGCTTCTTAATAAACTCCCATTGAATGAATGTGTGATTGCTTAAACTGCCTGCCAACAGTTTGAGATATTTAGTTTTTCTTATGCCCTGCAGTGTTCTTTATTTTTAAGGAATGGGTTGATGTAAAATTAAGATGGAACCCTGATGACTACGCTGGAATCAAAGCTATCCGCGTCCCCTCCGACTCCATCTGGACTCCAGACATAGTATTGTTTGACAAGTAAGAGCGATACATTAGTGTGATTTATGTTTGTAGAATAAAAGCAGGCTGTGTAAATATTCATCACTGCCTCTCGGCCTCTACCACGTGGAGATTTATAGAGCTGAGTGATCTAATCACATTCCTTCTGGACCTCATCTTGTCCTTTTCTATTAGGCTGCATATTAAAATGTCCTGTGCTATCTCCTATTTCTGTCATATGGAGCATCCATTGTGTGCTCAGGCCTAGGACACAATGCCTGTCCTAAGAGCCTCTTTTCATGCTTTTATAAGGGCACTGGCTTTGGAAACAGAAGAACTGGGTTCAAATCCCAACCTGTGTGACCTTGGGAAAGACATCTAGCTTCTCTGGGCCTCAGTTTCCCCATCTGTGAACTGAAGAGGCAGATAACCTTGGAAGTCCCTTCCAACTTCACATAAATGATCCTTTAAACTCTCTGAGTCTGGGAAGAAGTATAGTATAATGGATAAAGTGTGAGACTTGGAATAAGGAAGAGCCAGGCTCAAATCTCCCTTCCTTCCTTTTCCTTCCTTTTTTCCTTCCTTCCTTCCTTCCTTCCCTCCCTCTCTTCCCTCCCTCCTTCCTTCCTTCCCTCTCTCCCTCCTTTCTTCCTTGCCTCCCTCCCTCCCTCTCTCTCTCCCTCCCTCATTCCTTCCTTCCATACTTCTTTCTTTCTTCCTTCCTTCCTTCTCTCTTTCTCCCTCCCTTTCCTCCATCCTTCCTTCCTTCTCTCTGCCTCTCCCTCTCCTCCTCTCTTCTCTTTCCTCTAGCACTAGCCCCTTACCTTCGCTCCCAATAGAATCTCTTTATTCTAACAAATAAGTATATTCAAGTGAAATAAGTCACCTCATCTCTGTCTGAACATGTATGTCTGATTCCTCACCTCTAGTCTACCACCTCTCTGCAAAGAAGTGGGGAAGTATGTTTTATCATCAGTCTTCTTAGGTGATGACTGGTCACTGGATTAATCAGAGTTCTTCAGTCTTTCAAAGTTGTTTTCCTTTACAGTATTACAGTTATCATGTATATTATTCTAATTCTACTCATTTTACCCTCCATCAGTTCATACAAGTCCTTCAAAGTTTCTCTGAATGTAGTCCTTTTTCTTACAAGGAAATCATATTCTGCTGCTTTCACTTGTTCAACCATTTCCTGATTTGTGGGCACTTTTGTTCTTAATTCTTTGCTACAATAGAAAGTGCTGCTATGAATATTTTTTGTACATATAGGTCCCTACCCACTGTCTTTGATTTCTTTGAAGTGTAGTGCATGCCTAGTAGCAGTATGGTCTAGTTTTCTTTCTATTACATCATGCTGAACTTGAACATGATTTTTATAGTGACTAAAATTATATATATATATACACACATATACATATGTGTGTGTGTATGTCATTGAATTATAAGAGGTTGTTTTTCTAGTACTAGTAAATTCTAGTACTTGCATGTTTGAGACAAACAAAAAAACTACCTGTAAGATAACTGTTTAGGTTGGTTGCTTGCCTATGTGACTAATATGTGTATGTTCATGTGTGTGTTGTTTCAGTGCAGATGGACGCTTTGAAGGCACCAGCACAAAAACGGTCGTAAGATATGATGGCACTGTGGCTTGGACCCCACCAGCCAACTACAAAAGCTCCTGCACCATAGATGTCACCTTTTTCCCATTTGATCTCCAAAACTGTTCTATGAAATTCGGTTCATGGACATACGATGGATCACAGGTGGATCTAGTGTTGGAGGATTATGATGTAGACAAAAGAGATTTCTTCGATAATGGAGAATGGGAAATAGTGAGTGCCACTGGAAATAAGGGGAACAGAACAGATGGATGTTGCTGGTATCCCTATGTGACTTACTCCTTTGTAATTAAGCGTTTGCCTCTCTTTTATACCCTTTTCCTCATCATACCCTGCATTGGGCTCTCCTTTTTAACGGTGCTCGTCTTCTATCTTCCTTCAAATGAGGGTGAAAAGATCAGTCTCTGCACTTCAGTGCTTGTGTCCTTGACTGTCTTCCTCCTAGTTATTGAAGAGATCATCCCATCATCTTCCAAAGTCATCCCTCTAATTGGAGAGTACCTAGTGTTTACTATGATTTTTGTGACATTGTCAATCATGGTGACCGTCTTCGTGATCAACATTAACCATCGTTCCTCCTCCACGCACAATCCCATGGCACCTTGGGTCCGCAGAATCTTTCTTCATCAGCTTCCAAAGTTTCTTTGTATGAGAAGCCATGTAGATCGATACTTTACCCACAAGGAAGAAACTGGCAAGATCAGTGGCCCCACACCTTCTCGGAACACCTTGGAGGCTGCTCTTGATTCCATCCGCTACATCACGAGGCATGTCATGAAGGAGAATGACGTCCGCGAGGTCTGTTCCATTGTCTTGTGAGTTAAACTCAGATTTCAGATGGAGATAAAGTACCAGTTCTGGCTTATTACTCCCTAGCTTTCTAGTTGAAGTTGAGTGGTGACCCAAATTATTTTCAGTATAAGTCACTTGTCCATGATCGCATAACATGGACACACAATGGTGGAGCAGGGACTCATAGGGCGTCTGAGTCTAATTCAAATGCTTCCGTAGACTGCCAGTGAGGTGATTAACTTATTTTTGGACATAATGACTCAGGAAAGGCATAGGAGAATCATGACCTAAACTGGTCAAGGTCGTAGACTCTTTAAAAATCATGGATCCTTGAAACATATAGAGATAGAGCCTAGCTCTGTGATTTCATTGGTGTAAGGAACTCCCAAGTGAGAAAATTCTGTTGATACAGGTTGGAACTTCCTCAGCAATTTAGCAAGTTGCCTACAGCACTGACAGGTTAAATAATTTTGGTAAAGTCATTCACCCAGTACGAGGTAGAGGTAGAATCTGAACCGAGGTCTTCCTAGCTCTGCCACCGGCTCTCTATCCTCTAGGTCATGCTGTCTCTCTTTTCATGTACATAATTCATACATTATATGTAATATATACCTAATACATAATTTGATATACACATAATTCAAACTTTTTATTGTTGTTCAGTCATTTTCAGTCATGTCCAATTCTTCATGACCCCATTTGGGGTTTTCTTGGCAAAGATAATGGAGTGGTTTGCCATTTCCTTCTCCAGTTCATTTTACAGATGAGAAAACTGAGGCAAAGAGGCTTAAATGACTTACCCTGGATTACACAGCTAATGTCTGGGGCCAGATTTTGTATACATACTCATCCATACACACACACACACACACACACACACACACACACACACATTACAGTATGAATTTGAAACAAAAAGGGATCAATCAGCCAACAAGCATTTGTGCCAACAATGTGCCAGGCACTGAAGAAAGAAACACAAAAACACAACAATCCCTGATCTCAAAGAGCTTACATTCTATCAGAAGAGACAGCGTGTACACACAGGATCGTGGATTTAGAGCTGGAGGGAAGTTTAGAGACCCCCTACTCCAACCCACATTGAGGAAACGTAACTAACCCATTTCACATTTCTGTCTTCCAGAGACTATAGAAGTTTCATTTCCAACATTCATTTAAGTCTTAAAGAGATAGTAAGTCTCCCTATTAGATAGTGAAAAGAAGGGTTACAAGGAAATGTAAAATCAACTCAAGGGAATTTTGTGTGGTGGGAAAGCTGTGGCCATGGTGGACGTCAGGAAAAGCCTCCTTTAGGAAGGTGGTGCTCGAGGTGTGCTTTGAAAGAAATGAAGAGCAAGAGGTTTGTTGGAGGTTAGGAGGGATTCTCGCCCAAGCAAGGGGTGGGGGCTGAAGGGGAGGAAGCCTGTGCAAAGGCAAAGACAGGGGGCAGCAGCATGGCAGATCAAAGACAGCAATTGGTTCACAGTCAGGAGCCCAGGGTTCTAGACTCTGGACAAGTGTCTGTGTGACTAAGAAAGTTATTATTCACCTCTTAGCCTCTATAAAGTGAAGATAAATGAGAAAACATACATAAAGTGCTTCACAAACCCTCTGTAAAGTGAAGATAAATGAGAGAACATACATCAAGTGCTTCACAAACCTGAAAGTGCTATATAAATGCCAATTGCTATCATTTCCTGTGAGGGTCTTGAATTAGCTGATCCCTAAGCGTCTCCTCCGTCTCTAAAATTCTGGGATCCCAATCTTCCAGTGTGGTAGCTGAAGCCAGAGCTTGGGGGATATAGTGATGGGAGGTGGCCCGAGGCCTAACATACTGGAGCCACTGTCCAGTATCTCTTATGACATATAAGACATATGTGACATAGGGCACTTTTGTATCCTATTATAAAATGTTCACAAAATGCAAATGATAAAATATTCGATAAGTTATAAAATCTGATCAATATGGAGGAAATAGGTGTTTCATGTGTGTTTGAGTTTTTCTGTTTTCTGTTTTTTTTTTTGTCATATTAGGTTGTTGAAGACTGGAAATTCATAGCCCAAGTACTTGATCGGATGTTTTTGTGGACTTTTCTTCTGGTTTCAATAATTGGATCACTTGGACTTTTCGTTCCTGTTATTTATAAATGGGCCAATATCCCCATACCGAATTATATTGGGAGTACAAATAAGTGATGCTGTCTCGAGGATGGTCTAGACAGGCTTATCCAAAAAAAGGTACCTGGGATCTCTCAAAGTCTTCTTTGGCAATTATGAAGAAATAAAACAGAGCAAATCATGTTTAAATTTTAAAATGAGGTTGGCATCCTCATACCCACTATAGTGTAATCTGTGGATACTAGCTTTCTCGGAGATTGTCTCTAATAGGACCAACCTGCAAAAATAATGTAGCTCCCAAAGTATGTTGTTTGAATAATGGCATTTTGAGATGCTAAACAGAATTAGAAACTGCTTTCCAAACTCTATCATTGACCCAATGCATCTTCCTTTGTTGTTGTTGAGTTGTTTTTCAGTCGTGTCTGACTCTTCCTGACCCCATTTGGGGTTTCCTTGGCAAAGATACTGGAGTGGTTGGCCATTTCCTTCTCCAGCCCATCTTACAGAGGAGGAACTAGGGCAAACAGGGTTAAGTGACTTGCCCAGGGTCATACAGCCAGTAAGTGAACTCACCAAGATGAGTGTTCTATCCATTTTGCCCCTAGCTGTCCACACATCTTCCTTAGTTATGCTAATTTATGAGCCATAATGCGTGGGGCTTTTAAAAGAAGCTCTCCTCTTGACATTATTGAAGAACTCCAATTTTATTTATAACAAACAACTCACATTTGCACGGGAGATTTAAAGTTTAACATTAATTTGAAATGCTCTGCCCTGAGTTATACAATCCAAATTTTAAAATCCTGGTTCTTTTTATCTTGTCTTCAACTTGTAAACAATCTTTATTTTTTTTTTTATTTTGTGTTATACTACATTAAATAGATAATGTTTTTATTTGATGTAAAATTACAAGTGAACACCATGCTGCTTTTCTTGTCTTTAAAAATCAAGATTTCTTTTCTGTGTATATGATTGGAAGTTCCCTTAGAGTTTTCCTTTTTAGATGTTTCAACCAACCATTCATTTTGTGTTATTTCTACATATCTCATTTCACCATAAATAGGATCCCATTCCTCCACAGTAAAATCATATAAATGTTAAAGTGCTTGGATGCAACCTCCTTCCTTGTCCCAAAGCATTTTTTTCAGGGCACTTAGCTTTAGTTTTCCCATCATTTCCCCTCCCCACCAACCCTGGTCCATCAATCAAAGCAATTCCCTTTGGTTTAAACTAAATTAAATTGCTATATCATCTCGGGAATAGTGAGGTTCAGATTCCAGCTCCAGATGCTTACAACCTGTGTAACCTTGGGCCAGGCATCTAAACTTTTTCTGCACCAGGAGCACCCTAGGACTTAGCTGCTGAATCTCAGTCCCATAGTGCTCTGGAGAAGGGTATTCCCTCACTGGGAGTTTCCCACACTGTCTGAAATCTCAGATCCTTTCCAGTATTATCCCTTCATCCTTGTATTTACTTTATAAAACATTATCCAAAATGTTACAATTTTGGATCACCCGATCTCTACCTACTTAATATATATGTGTATATATATATGTGTGTGTGTGTATATATACATGTATATGTATATGTGTGTGTACATACATATACATACATATATATATACATACATACATATATACATGTGTGTGTGTGTGTTTTGTGCACAGACTGTATTCTCCACAATTACAAAGACAATTCTGGCTGGACCTTCCATACTGGATTTTTCAGATATTCTTAGTGGAATCCCTTTTCCATGTAAAGAGCCTCCTGGACTTGAAGACAACATTCAGCCTGCCTCCAATTTGCCAAAAGCTCATATGGCACAGTGGATACTGTGCCGGGCCTGGAGTCAGGAAGACTCAACTTCCTGAGTTCAAATCTGGCCTCAGACACCAGCTGTGTGACCCTGGACAAGTCACTTTATCCTGTTTGTCTCAGTTTCCATATCTGTAAAATGACCCAGAGAAGGAAATGGCAAACCACCGCAGTATCTCTACCAAGAAAACCCCAAATGGGGTCAGGAAGAGTTGAGTGAACAACAACATTTAAGTGCAGCAATGCCAAGCCCGCTTTGGTTTCTCGTTCTCCAAATTCCCAACTGAACTTAGGCAAGAGGAGATAAGCAAAAGCAGTCTCATCTCTTGGTGTGATTCACATGATTACAAACTTATGGTCCATAATGGTTCTAAACACACATTCATGGTTAAAGGAACAGGCAGGAAGGTTGGCGATCTTTCCTTCCATTTTAAACTCCTGAGGAGTCACTTGAATTTAGATGACTCTTGGGAGGCCCAACTTGGGTTGAGCCATTTCACCTGCAAGGTAACTGTTACCTTTGGAGGGCAGGTCCCTCATCTAGTTAACTTGCATTTTACAGTCAGTAGAGACTTTGGGAAATCCCACGTGATGTCATGATGATGGGTCGGCTTAACAGGTCTCCATTGCTTAGCTGACTCTAATATTTTAGAATAGCTCATGTCTCCATTCGCATAGAATCACAGACCTAGAGCTGGAAGGACTAGACCTCAGAGGACGTCTAACAGTCCAACTGCCTCCATTTACGGAAAAGGAAACTGAGGCCTGGAGACAGTAAGGAACATCCACAATTAGTAAATATTGGAGACAAGACTTGGAGCAGAATAGCATGGGATGGGCAGGCACAGATGGGTCTCCATCTGCCCTGCTGGAGGGAATATTGAAATCTATGAGATGACGGACCATGGGCATATTGGAACAGTTTAGCACAGACGTGCCTGGAACTCTTAATGGCTTCCCCACCCTCTGTGGCTTTAAAACATTTCAAGTACAAATAAAATTCATAAAAATGTGCCTCTTGAAAAATGGAGAAGTGAGTCGCTTATTTTCTGTCGTTTTGCATGTTTTATTTGTGCACAGAAAAACAGACTTTAATTCTGAAGGGAAAGAGAAGATCAACATGGTCTCTCTGGATCATTAGCTTTCTTTTCACAGTCAAGATAGCGATCTAGGAGAGTTTACAGCGGGACTAGATGTACCCTCTGATAATAGTACTAGATGCCATTTTCTCCTCCTCATATTAAGCACCTTTTCTAAAGGTCAATGAACTCTAATAGATTTGGCAATCCTAGGTACAATGGGAGGCATAAGCTCTCCCTACCCCAGGGTTTTTTGACTTTTTTTGTTTTTCATGGACCCCAATGGGCCCCTTCTCAGAATCGAAGGAACTGCCCAATTTCAAATAGAGGTTAGGGAAAATAAAGATATCATTTTTTTTCCATCCCAGCTTGAGGATCCTCTGAAGTCTGCCTGGCCCAGGTTAAGAACCCCTGTCCTCTGAGGAAAGCTTAGCCCAAAGGCAGTTAAGAACCATTTGAATTTTTTGGCAAGAAAGGAGTTGTGTCAGAAAAGCGCAGCTGAGCCTACTTGGGGAAAAAAGGGAAATTCTGGAAATTTAGTGTTTATGAAGCAAGTCTTTTTTCTAAATAAGCCTACAATTCATTTACAGAAAAGAAGGAATCCTAAGATGAAGCCTTTTCTAAATGTATACATGAGGCGCTCAGTAAATGCTTGTTGAATCAAATTGGACCTTTTGGGGAAGTGAATCATTGCCCCCAGTTTAATCTGTTTCATGGATGTGAATTTCCATATATAATAGTTCTCCCTTATGAAGGCCCACACATAAAATACAAGCTCCCTGAGGGCAGGGACCATCCATTCTCGGTCTCTGTATTCCCAAACAGACTTAAGGACTGGCACATGAGAGGAGTTTAATAGATTTCTGTTGAGTTGGTAGATTGATTGATTGATTGAAATTAGCAAGGGGGGTAGGAGGAGGCTCTGTATTCAATTCTCCTCCCACCAGGTGTTCCCCTTTGTTCCTTGGTTTAAATCAGACAATCATAGACTTAGAACTGAAAGGACCAGAGAGGTGTCTTGTCCAAATCCCTCATTTTACAGAGAAGGAAACTGATGCAGTAAGTGGTGAGCTCTGCCACTTAGATCTAAGCCTCTTTCCAGGTGACTTCCAGGGCCCCAGGCAACCTTGGATGCCACCTGGGTGACCCTGGGCAAGTCACTCAAGCTTTGTGCCCCAGCAGATTTGTAAAACCAAAATAACATTTACTCTGAGGGTTTTTGTTTGCTTGTTTGTTGTTCAATGGGGGTGGGGGAGATAACAAAAGTTTGTGAAAAGAAATAAATGCATTTTTATAAGACTGTAAGTTACTTGTGATAAATACCAGTGAGCAGGATTTATCTCTTTAGGGAGAGAAGTTTCCTCACCAGAAGTGCATAATAATAATAATAATAATCATATTATTATCATTTAATTATTCAGGGTTTTAGGTTTTGCAAAGCACTGCACGGGTTATCTCATTTGATCCCCACAACAATCTTGAAAGTAGGTGCTTTCTTATCCCCATTTTATAAATGAGGAAACTGAGGCAGAGGTTAAGTGGCTAGCTGGTATGTGTCTGAGGTCAGATTTGAACCCAGGTCTTCCTGATTCCAAATCAAGCCTTCTTACACTGTGCTACCCTGCTGCCTAGCTGTATCAATGAAATCACAAGTCTGGTCTCCTCCAAATGCCTTCGAACGCTATCTGGGTTTCCTCTCTAGGAATCCTCTCTTAACCATTAAAGTATTTTGAAGAGGCTCCTTTACCTCCTCCAGGAAGGCTTTCCTGGCCTCCTCCTGCCAGTAGACAGTGAACTACTCTTTCACAAATTTCTCCTAGCACTCTCTAGATTTCTCTTCCTTCTGTTCTGATCACAATGGATTTGGAGTCAAAAGATCTGGGTTCAAATCCTGACTCTACTATGTCACCTTGGGTGAGTTGCTTAATCTTTTTGGGCCTCAGTTTCCTCATCTGTAAAACAAAAGGGTCCCTTCCAGCTTGAAATCTGTGATTGGATGATTGCCTAGGATCCTTTCTGGTCTCTATAGCTGATCCTTTGCTTATTTGTGCATATAACTTGGCCCCTACTAAAAGGCAAACTCTTTGAAGATGGAAACTGTTTTTTCATCCTTATATCCCCAGTGCCTTGCGCTTAATAAAATTTTGCTGAACTTCAAATTATGCTGAATATGCATAATTTCCA